CTCGTTCCGTAATACATCATCTCACAACTAACATATTAGTTGCAGTGCTTGCAAGGCTTATGTGATGTGCATTACCGAGAGGGCCCAGAGATACCTCTCCGACAATCGGAGTGACAAATCCTAATCTCGAAATACGCCAACCCAACATCTACCTTTGGAGACACCTGTAATGCTCCTTTATAATCACCCAGTTACGTTGTGACGTTTGGTAGCACCCAAAGTGTTCCTCCGGCAAACGAGAGTTGCATAATCTCATAGTCATAGGAACATGTATAAGTCATGAAGAAAGCAATAGCAACATACTAAACGATCAGGTGCTAAGCTAATGGAATGGATCATGTCAATCAGATCATTCAACTAATGATGTGACCTCGTTAATCAAATAACAACTCATTGTTCATGGTCAGGAAACATAACCATCTTTGATTAACGAGCTAGTCAAGTAGAGGCATACTAGTGACACTCTGTTTGTCTATGTATTCACACATGTATTATGTTTCCGGTTAATACAATTCTAGCATGAATAATAAACATTTATCATGATATAAGGAAATAAATAATAACTTTATTATTGCCTCTAGGGCATATTTCCTTCAGGAGCAACATGAGGGCCTAAAACAATTTGTTGCGGAAGGATGGTTAGCCGAAGCACCTTCTGCTTCGGCCGAGCAACTAAAGCAGAAACTACTTACTCTTCCGCAAGGCCTCGTCAGATGGAGCAAAGACAATTTTGGAAGTGTTAGAAAGGAGATAAAACAGCTGAAGAAAGTGCTAGAGGAGATGCGAGGAGACCCGCTGAGGATTGCACCATCCCATGTTGAACTCAAAATCAACAAGCGGTTGGTTGAGATGTACCATAGGGAAGAAATTATGTGGCGTCAGCGCGCACGAATTTAGTGGCTGTCGGAGGGTGACAGAAACACGAAATTCTTCCATCTCAGAGCTAGCATACGAAGGAAGAAAAACATGGTCAATGCGCTACAAAACTCACTTGGGGTAATTGTCTCTGACCCGGCTGAGTTAAGGGAGATGGTCAACTCCTTTTATAAAACACTCTATGAAACGGAAGGGGCCCATCAGGTGGAAGCAGTTTTGGAGCATGTCCCGCGGAAAGTAACAGAAGAGATGAACGCCTCCCTTTGTGCTCCATACACCAGTGATGAGGTCAGAACATCATTATTTCAGATGTTTCCAACGAAAGCCCCGGGGCCTGATGGTTTTCCCGCTCATTTTTACCAGCGACATTGGGATATATGTGGTGAAGAGGTCACCAATATCGTTCTGAGGATAGTCAGAGGAGAAGAGAGTCCAGAGTGCATCAATGACACAGTTCTAGTTCTCATCCCTAAGGTAACAAACCCCACTGTTTTGGCTCAATTTAGACCTATAAGTCTTTGCAATGTTCTCTACAAGATAGCATCAAAGGTAGTTGCAAACAGACTCAAAGTTATACTGCCAGATATTATATCTGAGGAACAGTCTGCGTTCGTGCCAGGGAGGCAAATCACTGATAATATCATATGTGCCTATGAGTGTCTGCACTTCATGAAGCGTTCACGATCAAAATCTAACAGCTTTTGTGCTTTGAAGTTGGATATGATGAAAGCCTATGATAGATTGGAATGGAACTACCTGAGAGCAATCATGACTAAACTTGGTTTTGCAGAGCAGTGGATCAATACTGTTATGGCCATGATATCTTCAGTTTCTTTTTCGGTTATGCTGAATGGAGAGAGACTTGAATCTTTTAAACCGTCCAGAGGGATTCGACAGGGAGACCCAATCTCCCCCTACTTATTCTTGATCGCAGCAGAGGGCCTATCGTGCCTCCTGAAATCCAGTTCTCAGTCATCATCTTTGTCAGGTATTAAGGTGGCCCCCTCGGCGCCATTGATTAACCACTTGTTATTTGCAGATGACAGCCTGTTGCTTTTCAAGGCCAGCATAGAGGGTTCGGTTGAAGTGTCAAACCTACTAAATACATATTGTAGAGCTTCAGGACAAAGGGTCAACAATGACAAATCATCCATATTTTTTAGCAAGGGTTGCCCGGTCCCGGTCAGAGAAGAGGTGAAAAATCAGCTACAGCTCCAGAATGAATCTTTGTCAGAGAGGTATTTGGGGATGCCAACTGATGTGGGTCAGTCAAAGAACGGGACATTCAAATACTTGCGGGACAGGGTGTGGGAAGAGATCAAAGGGTGGATGGAGAAACTATTGTCTGCTGTGGGAAAGGAGGTGTTGATTAAGTCTGTAGCACAAGCCATCCCGGTCTTTTCTATGTCTTGTTTCAGATTACCACGGGGTCTATGTGACAGCATCACATCTATCATCAGACAATTTTGGTGGGGAAGCAAGCGTGGAAAAAGGAAGCCAAGCTGGGTGGCATGGGACACCATGACAATGCCGAAACACATGGGAGGCCTAGGTTTTCGTGACCTGGAGATTTTTAACCTCGCCTTACTTGCACGTCAGGCTTGGAGAACCTTAACCGATGATACATCACTAGCTGCGAAGATCCTCAAAGCAGCTTATTTCCCTGATTCCTCATTACTTGAGGCAGAGGTGGGAGCTCACCCGTCACAGATCTGGAGAGCTATACTTGATGGCCGGGATGTTTTGGTGCAAGGTTTAGTTCGACGGATAGGAGATGGCGAAACAACATCTATCTGGGATCACAACTGGATTCCAAGGGATAGCTTTAAGCGCCCTATCACCTCCCTCGTCCCGAATCCACCTACGTTGGTGAAACACCTTATTGATGCCACTACCGCTACCTGGAATGAGGAGCTGATCAGCGCTGTTTTTACCCCGTTTGATGCCCAGGAAATTTTGAAGATTCCGCTATGCACGCGTCGAGTTGATGATTTTTGGGGTTGGCATGAAGAAAACCATGGGAAGTTCAACGTCAGGAGTGCATACCGTATGATATTAAGGACAAAAATCCATCGGGAAGCTTGGCTAAACGAATCAGAAGGCTCATCGCATGTCCAGCAGGAGAGTAAGCAGTGGAGCAGCATTTGGCATATACAAGTCCCATCCAAAGTCAGAATGTTCGTGTAGAGATTAGCAAGACAGTCCATGCCAACTGGCGAGCTATTGAACCACCGCAACATGTCATCAGAAGTCAGCTGCATCCTATGTGGGGCAAGAGATACATGGAGGCATGCTCTCCTTACTTGCCCGATGTCAAGCAGTGTCTGGGCGCTGGCTCCAGAACACCTAGTCGAAACCCTGGCACAGGAGGAATGTTCCCATGAATGCTCTAAGGACTGGCTGTTCCATTTACATGAGATAATGAACAAGGAGGACTTTGTGAGGGCTATTGTTACGGTGTGGGCAATATGGAGCGCGCGGCGCAAGGCGATTCACGAGGCCATCTTCCAATCACCAGTGACAGTTAAAGGTTTTATCACAAGGCTGATTTCAGAACTACAAGCGGTACATACACCGAAGATACAGATGACTACCGCAAGGACTCCCAGACCCTCTCAGTGGCAGCCGCCGGTGACCAACTGCGCAAAAGTAAATGTAGACGCGGCGGTTTCTCGTCATGGAGGATATGGGGTAGTGGCAGCCATCAGTCGCGATGCAACGGGCAGTTTTTTGGAAGCATCAGTGCTAGCCTTTCGACATCTAGCTGATCCGCAAGTGCTTGAAACATTGGCGGTGCGTGAGGCACTTGCCCTTTCTGATGATCTTTACATAAGGCGGATTCACGTGGCCTCGGACTGCAAAGGTGTCATCGAAGATATTCAGAAGAAGAATACTCCCAGCTATGGAGCAATCATACGTGAAATACTAGTTCATTCAGCATCTTTTGATATTTGTAATTTCAGTCACGAGTTTAGGAGCTCAAACTTTGAAGCTCACAACCTTGCAAAGCATGCACTCTCTCTTGGTGGTGGCCGCCATGTCTGGTTAGGGCACCCGGGAGATCTTCCATCCGTCCCTGTAAACATTATGACGATTTAATAAAGCTTTGCAAGTTTGTCTAAAAAAAATGTAAGCTTGAGCTGCATGTCGTTGTGGTAGGAAGAAGCGAGCGGCCGCGGTGGCCCGGTCTCGCCGACCGCCATTTCTGACCGAGACCAAACCGAACCGAGTCGTGTGGTCAGTCACCCACCGCACCACCCAAAACCAAGCGTCCCAGCCAGACCAAACTACCGAGAAACCACGCGCACGCGGCGCGGGAGCGCAACCCTGAACCGACTGCCGGCCCACCTCACGTCCGGCCGGTTCGCGCCGTGTCTCCGACGCCACTTCCCTCCCTCCCTCCCTCCTCCACCCGGATCGGGCTCGCCGGCACCGCCCATGGCGTCCTCCTCGGCCCTGCTCACGGGGGAGCGCCTCGTCGTCTTCCTCTTCGCCGCGCGCGTCGCGCTCGCCGCCCCGGCCGGCCTCGCGGCGCCGCTCGCGCTCCTCGCGGGGGCCGCCCTCGCCGTCGAGCTCGCCGTGGACCGCTCCGCCGCGGCCCCTTCCTCCCCGCTCCGCCGGTTCAGGACAAGGTGCGGCCGCACTCCCTCGCCTCGTCCCCACCCCATCCCACGGGATTAAACAAAATCCTCGCGATTCGGCCACCCACGCGGATTTTCCAGAGTGTAAATTTGGTCTCGTTCGGTTCCCCACCAGAGAAATGCGTGCGTTTAGATGAGCACCACGGAAGCGAGGCTCTCTCGCAAAAATCTCTAGCACGAAATGGTCAAGACCGCCTCATTTCATTGGGTTGCCAACAAAATTGGGGACTATTGGCGGTGTTGTTAAGGCAATAGCAGATGAGCGGGGGATGCAAACAGGAGCTTAATCCTGGGCTCTGATGGAAATTACCGCTTAATCCTTGTTCGAATTGTTATTTAACATACACAGTAGAAATGCGTCTTGTTCATGGTGTAGGGACTACCGTCAAGTAGAATGTACAAGTTCTGGGGGCCTGTCGAGATTCATTTTAGGTCCTATGATGCGCAACCCCAATTGCATTCTAGCTACTATCCCCGAGCAGAATGTACAGGTTCAGAGGGTCTGTTGAGATTCATTTTAGGTCCTGTGATGCGCAACCCCAATTGCATACCTCTACTGTATATCCTATTTGAGTTGTGTGTCTACTTAGTTTTATATCGCGTCTTTTGTGGCAAGCTACAAAATATAAAATTGAACCTAGTGCTTGGTGTCTGATGTATATAGTTATATATCCTCCAGGCCAGGTGCTTCATCAGGCATTCTTCTTGGCGCAACTACTTTGCCATGTGTCATGCTTGCACGGTTAATCCAGCTTTCGAGGATTTTACCAACAGATCCCAATGGAGCACAAGGTATACTCCTAATTTTATCATCTTCATCAACAATTGAACAAGTCAGAGGACTTGTGAAGTGCATTTATCCTCTGTTTTATGTGCCATTGAACCTTTCTTTTTGTGATGCATACATTTTACCTTTTACTAAATACATATATTTTTGTTTATGTGGCCAGAATTTGCATACCTCGAAATGCAGTATTGGGCAGTATCCATCAGCTGCGCCAGTGTGCTGGCTTTCTTCCTTTGGCATCTACGTCAGTCTGCCAACAATGAGATTTCTAAAGCTTTGAAATATGGTTCATTGATGGTAGTTTTATACCTCGTGACATTCTTGCTGTTCTTCCTACTGAAGACTGATGGAGGTAACATGCAAGACTTCAACTGCATTCAACGATGATTGCATTGTGTTTTTTTGGGATCTAATTCAAGTCCAAAGATGACAAGGATTTGACAAAATATTTGTGTTGAATTTATTGTAGGTCTGTTAGCGATGACCAAAAATGGGTATCTACTCTGCCATGGTGTGGCTGCTGTGATCTTGATCAAGCACATTCTAGAGAAGTTCCCTTCATGTTCATCTTTTGGTTTGTACCTGAAGTCTAAGATGTAATTAGATCTTTATTTCTATTCTTCTGTTTATATCTGATTGCATATCCTAATAGGCATTTATACATTTTCCTAGATACCTTATGGATTAAGATAAATCCCATGCAGAAATATACACACACATAAGAACGGTTGCAATTGCCCCCACTTTGTTTAGTATCTTTTGCATGTAAGGCCAACTATTTTGTATGGTTCTTGTTTAGTAGTGCAATTTATTAGTATATCTATCTCCTCTTCACTTTGACTTGGAAGTACAACCTTTTTCTTATTTACACTCTTCTGTAAATTCCAGGGGAAGGACTTCTGGTATCAAGTGGTCTCGTTGTTTACTTTGGTGATATTCTGGCTCGTACTCTTTCAAAGGTGTGAATTGTTCCTAACTATATGTTTGCCATAAAGAAAGAGCAAATCTGACGTTTTGTATCATTTTAATTGCACTGGCAGATGGAGGTGTCTGCATCATCAGGAGCATTCATACACACACCTGGAACTCAAAGCGAGATAGCCACCGTCATTCAGGTAGAGTTTTTGTTATTTCGATGGTCTGGCTTGAGCTATATAGCATTTACATCTCGAACTTCTTTTGGCAGGGGGTTTTGCTTGGTCTTTTTCTACTTCCCTTGCTGTACAAAAGTTCTCTTCAAGTTTGGGTTTACTGTCGAACATTGGGCAAGCAACGAACACAAGCAATTGAGAAACGAGCAGAAAAAAGAGCAGGTTCTGCTGTATTTTATATCTCGTTGTTAGTGGTGTTATTGTTCTTGGTGCCGTCATGGACGCGGCTTGTTCAAGGTCTTGAAGTCCATCCGTTTGTTTGGTAAGAATCACCGTTTGACTTTCATGGGAAGAGCATACCACTTAACGTTAGTGGAATTAATATTTTAACTGTGCACTCTGTTCTTTCTCGGAAAATCTTCTGTATATTTACAGATACTGACTTTGTTGTTTGCTTAATGGCTCATTATTTCACAGGGTTCTTAACTACATGTTCACCAATTCAGATGAACGGCTTCTTTTATGTGCATACTGGATATTTGTCATATGTGTATCAATTAGAAGGTTCTACAGTATATCAAAGCAAAGCAAAACAGAGAGAATTCTTTTGCGCAAGTATTATCATCTTGTTGCTGTCCTGATTTTCTCTCCTGCCGTTATATTTCAGGTATTGTATACATCTTTTCTAATCTAATCCCACTAGAATATTTCAAAAGTTATTGTGATAGATTTGATCTATGCTTTGCAGCCTGCTTTCTTGGACTTGGCATTTGGTGCAGCATTTGCTCTTTTCTTAATACTGGAGATGATTCGTGTAAGAATCTTTTGATTCTCCTATGTCCTTCCCCACTCTCTTTCCTTTTCCCTTTCAACAGTACTCCCTCTGTAAAGAAATATAAGAGCATTTAGATTACTAAACTAGTGATCTAAACACTCTTATATTTCTTTACGGAGGGAGTATCTGTTATGCCAAGTTGTGCTCATTTCTCCACAAATGTTCAACTATGTCATCAGGTTTGGGAAGTATACCCTCTTGGGCATACCATACATCAATTCATGAACGCTTTCACTGACCACCGTGATTCTGAGATTCTAATTATTAGGTAAGTGTGCTTTAGTACTTTTTATTTTCCGTATTTTACATCTTTCACTGTATGATATAACGTCTTTTATTGGGGGTTTTCAGTCATTTCTCACTCTTACTGGGCTGCGCACTTCCTAAATGGATGTCATCTGGATTCAATGACCGACCCCTAGCCCCTTTTGCTGGAATTCTCAGCTTAGGGATAGGTGATACAATGGTAGGTCCAGTGGCCTGTTAATATCATCTACTCTATGCCTTCTTCTAATACAAAATGACGCGCACTTAGGTGTGTGTCTGAGGAAAACAATCCCTATTGCACTGTGTCATATCTGATGTATTTTCTGATTTGAACCCAGGCATCAATGATAGGGTACAAGTACGGTGTCCTAAGATGGAGCAAGACAGGAAGTGAGTTTGGTTTTCTTTATTCCTTTGGTCCTTCCGCACTTGTCCGCTGATCACTTGTTATGCGTGTTTTCCTGTATTGTTAGAGAAAACAATTGAAGGCACGGCAGCAGGCATAACCTCTGTACTGGCAGCCTGCTCAATTCTGGTGACACTGTTAGCTTCAAGCGGATACATTCTTTCACAGGTTCGATCCCTTAATTTCTTGCACCGAATCGAGGAAAGCTTTATGCTAGAACATGCAACACAGCTCGAATAAACTGCCACTGACCGTTTTTCTTATGTTGGCACAGCACTGGTTGTCACTTTCGGTTGCTGTGACGTTGAGCTTATTACTGGAAGCATATACGACACAGCTGGATAACGCTTTCATACCCCTTGTGTTCTATAGCCTTCTATGTCTGTAAATGAAGAGCAACCTGCTGTACATCCAACTGACCTTGAGGTCCTCTTTTTGGTTACTGCTAATATATATAGTACAGCAAGGCAATAGCTAGTCATTTGACCTCTTTGCCTCCTTGGTGCTCCTTTGTACCACCTCTGATTTAAAGTGTAGGCTTAGGTATATAAGAATATAAAAATAGAATTAGTGAATACGGAGTACTTCAGTAGAGGACATCTTTTCTTCGGTACAGATGAAGCTCTATGCTATAACTGTAAGTTTGTAACAGCTTATCTTGAAGTGGTTCCATTCCATCAACTCTTTTGATCTTCTGTTGGGCGCATCAAATAAGAGTTGTATGAAGTAATGATGAGTGTGGATATTATGGTCATGCTGTTGTGAAAACCGTTGATTTTACAATCTCTTGGGCGGAGAAACGAAAGCGAAGTTGAGCCATCATTTCCCCCTTCTTTATCGAAGCAAGAAGGTAGAACAATTGCAAAACAGCACTATAAGTTTATTTTAGCAACTACTATAGCATAAGCTTAATTATTACTCCCTTTGTCCGGAAATATTTGTCTTCAAACTGGATAAAAGGGGATGTATCTAGATGTATTTTAGTTCTAGATACATCTCTTTTTATCCATTTTGATGACAAGTATTTTCGGACGGAGGGAGTAATTACTAGCATAGACCAAATATAATAGAAGTTACTTAATAAATTAGAACAATAGCATATAAAAGCCATTTTAACAGTGGCATTATTGCATTTGTTTGCTAACGATAGCAAAAATTACTTACTTAGCAAAAATGATTGTATAAAATCATTTTTAAATGACATTAGATGAATTAACCACTGACCATGGCAAAAATCAACATTAGCAGTAGGTGAATTCACTTTTGTAAGTCGTTTAAGAGAGCTGAAATTGAACTGTTTTAGGTGCTATCTTAAATGTCTAAAAGGTCTTACAAAAGTGAATGAAGGGAGTACTAAAGATATAACAAAACTTAATATGGCAATCAATGGCTTGATGGTCTGTTCACAAGCAAGATCATTGACATGAAGGTCCGTACAACGCACAGGCAGTATCTCGGCAAATTTCAGGGGGTGGCTCAGGGGCAGGGTCAGGTTCATTGCGACCATTCTCGTCCTTCAGCCTGGCTGCCGGCTCCGATAGCAGGCACAAGACCACTGCGCTGCCCACGAATCGCCCTGCAACGGGTTCTCTCCTCACAGTCCCATGTCCTCCTCGTGTCCTCTTACACGAGCCGCCCGATCGTCCGACCTCCTTGTGTCCTCTTGTGCTGGGGGCCTCACGTTGCGCCACACCCTCCTACTCTCTGACGTGTCACTCGACATTTTCCTTGCGGCCAGATCTGGCAAGCCAGATGAAGGGGCGTTGGTTCCACTCACATCACACCATCATTTTTAGATAGAGAAAGAGAAAGGCATTGTCTCGTTGAGAGGGATGTGTTGGAGTAAGAGGTTTATTATGCTTTCTAGTGTGAGCCGAGCTTATATAATGTCCAGACACATCAAATATTGTAGTTACTGAAAATCGTGTGCGATGGTGTGTGATGTGGGATCTCACATAGCAAACAAGCGTTACAACTGTAACTGTGAGCCATGTGCTCACATGTCACATGACACTTCTGGCCCAACGTGTACCTTCCTATGCAATAGCCATATCACACACATTTCTGACTCAACCAGACCACGTGCGACGAGCTTATGGGCAGTATCTTCATCTTGACAACAGATTAAGCACAATAGTAACATCACAAATTACTTGCATCTTATAGTACCTTACATATACAATATCTCTCTTTGAGATATTAGTTCATCAACAATTTCCATGCTGTATCCATTGCTCCGTCTTAAAGTGAACAAACTAGATCGACCTTGGCCACATCGGATCAGAGTATTGATCACACTGCCTAGGGAACCAAGCTAAGAGTTGTATCTCCACTAGCATACAACTCACCACTCTCTTTTTTAGTTATACTATTCCACTTCAGGATTTTGCCTATGAAGCCCACAAGCATTGGGAGTGTCCAATTCCACTTAACCCGTGCCATATCCATTTCTCGGTCTTAAAGTGAACAAACTCGATCAACCTTGGCCACTACCACTGCCGGAGCCCCCGGCGACACCTCCACTGGTCGACCCAACACCACCGCCCCCTCCGCTTCCGGTAGAACCATTTGAGCTACCAGATCCTCCGCCATCGCCCACTGCATTACCAGCACGACCAACACCACTACCACCACCCGAGCTACTGCCCCCATTTCCACCTCCAACACCACCGCCTCCACTGTTGCTCACACTCACCCCACCACACCCGATGTGAACATCGACACCACCTCCAGCCCCACCCCCTGCATGCACACCGCCGGCGCCATCGGCCCCACCCCCACCTCCGCCGATCCCCACATCCACACCACCACGCCCCACGTCAATGCCAACGCCCGCACCCGCGCCACCGCCCGCACTCGCACCGCCACCACGGGTAGTGCCAGCCCCGCCTCCAAGCCCACCGCCGACAGCGATGGACGCGTCGTGCCCGCCATGTCCTATGCTCACCCCGAAGCCCCGGCCGCCACCCTCCCCGCTGCCACCTTTGATGGAGAACGACTTGCTGTCATCCAGTGCGTTTTTGTCCTCTGGTAGGAGCCTTGCTTGGGCAAGCTGGAGAAGTGAAACGCACAGCAGAAGTAGAGCTGAGATGGCCAGACGGCGGCAGGAGGTGGGAGCGGCCATGGAGGAACTGCAAGGATGATCGGCGCAGTTGCTTGTGTAGGTGTGCTGATGACCCTGTTGTGCGCAACGCGTGGATTTTTATAGAACAAATAAAGCCGATGTCTCCATACTGGAATAAGTAGCCACAAAGTAAAGGTGATCTGATCCTAGTGAGCTGTATAGCAATTGCCAATTGGCCAAGAGAATTTTCACGTGTACATGCTTGTGGTACCAGAAAACAAAAACAAGCTCAAGCCACATGATCATCTGTGGGATTAGAACCTTGATCTCCAGCTAAATACTCCCTCCCAAAATAAATGTCTTAACTTTGTATTAACTTTAGTACAAAATTGTATTAAGCTTGAGACACTTATTTTGGGATGGAGGGAATATATAGCTAAGGTTTGAGATATTTTTTGGCTGGAAAGAAGGGGAAATATATGCAACTAGTTGTTGTCATAAGGTAAGATTTTTGCTCCCTCCATTCACATAGATTTTTCTGAAAATCAAGATTCGTAAACTTTGACCAAGTTTATAAATAAAAAAATATCTACATCTACAAATATCTAATATTACAGAAGTATGTCTCATGATGTATCTAATGATATATCTTTAGTATTTGTAGATGCAAGCACCTATAAACATGGTCAAAATTACCACATGGCACATGTGGTAAGCAATTCAAACTTAAAAAAAAGCATGGTCAAAGTTTATGAAGTTTGACTTCTCAAAAATATATATGCGCACCACTCATGTGGTAAGCAATTCAAACTTAAAAATAAACATGACCAAAGTTTATGAAGTTTGACTTCTCAAAAATATATATGTGCACTACATTGTTTTCTCTTAGAAAAGGAGGATGACCCCCAGCCTCTGCATCTAGGCGATGCATACGGCCACTTTATTAATTATTCTCATAAGACCTTACAAGTCAGACAACAGTAAGACTAAAGCCGCCGTCTAAGCAACAAATGTCGCTACACCTATTCAGTTGATGGAAGGGGCGCAGATAGCCTGGGCCTAATACCAAACAGACATCGCAGCCAAACCTAACATCTAAGACCTGAGACCCCAACCTAGCCACTTGCCGGGTCTGGGGCACACACTGGTCCGACGTGCTCTCAGAGGCCGCCGCCGCCAACTGCCATCGCTCCATCTTCAGAACTGTACTGATGCATCAACCTTGCTCGGTCTAACTATCGTCGACGCCACCACGGCGCCCAACGACACCTCCTCCCTGCGCGCAAACAACTGAGCACGTCGCGGTCGCCACTGATATACCTCAGCGCCATGCTGCCAAGTACCACCAGCCGACACAACTTGAAGTCCTTGGAAGATCTGTCGTGCGTAGCACCTGCCGACCAGGCATGACCAAGCGTAGCACCTATCGGTCAGGCATGACTTGACATCTCCACCGAAGCTCCGTGCAAGATGAAGCCGCTCCACCTCCTGCCTCTGACTTCCAACGCTGCTCCACACACGATGCTCCCAAGAGAGAAACGACACCGCAGTGTCGCCATCGTCCGATCTGGAACACCAGATCCTAGGGTTTCCCCCGGAGCAGCACGAGTGGGTCGACAGTAGTTACACGATGATGCCTTCATCAAGGTAACGACGTAGAACGTCGCCATCGCCTGCCATCAGCTCGGTTTTCACCGGCAATCATGTCTCCCCAACTCGCAGCCGGGACTAGATGATGGATCTCGAGATCCGATCACCAAGCTTCTGGCTGGCCACCACCGACGAAGAAGATGACCACCACCACTGGCTACACCGGCCAGAACAGATCTGCCATGGGTGCCGCCAAGCAGTCCACCAGGCCCTCGACGCCGTCGCCGATCTAAAGCCGGATGACATGCCGCCGAAGACCGTATCGCACCGCCGCCCGATCCAGGCCAGCCGCCGCCCGTGGCCCGAGGCAGGGCGGACCGCCGCCGGCGTCGAAGCCAACGCCGTCGCATCTAGATCGGCCGCACCTCCATGCATGTGGGGCCCCGTCACCCCTGAGATGCGGGAGGAAGGAAGAGCCCCCGCCACCGCCGTCGGCCTCCGGGCGCAAGCCGGCGGCGTCCTCCGGCGGTGCGAAGGAGGAGAGGAAGATGGGCTAGGCCCGGCGGCTAGGATTGGGGAGCCCCCGAGTCGCCCGAGCGGGGGGCAGACGCGGGGGGCTGTTGCCCTTGTTTATTCAGACGAAGAGTACAAAGTGATTACCTTGCGGAAGCGGCTGTGGCTAGGGTTTAGAATCGACTTGCGATAGATACCATGTTACAAAGGAGAGAGGGACATTGTGGAAGGGAGAGAGTATATAAAACATACCACTCGGGTCTTTGGGTGTGTAGATGTGAATGCCCCTCATATTTGTTTGAGTGACATGAAAGACATCAACACCAGACAAAACGATTTACAATAATGAAGATAAAAATTGAAATGTCGCACAAATTATCAAAATGTGACCAGACAAGTGGCACCCGTGCTAAATATGTATACACAAAAACTTGATTTGTAAATCAGTACAAAAATGATCAAAGTTGCGCGTGTGTACCGAACGATTTCATTACCCGTCATGTTCTGGCAAGGAATATGTTGCTCTGGTCTTTAGAAAACATGGACACAACCGTTCACACGTACTTTGACAACTCGCGATTGCGTAGTTTCACATGACCTTTGCGGCTTGTTTTCCTGTTACTAGATTTGCTTCTCCGTTCAAGTTTCTTTGCAGGTGTCGCCGCCTACGAGTATGTTCTGCCTGAATGGCAGTGCTATTGTGCTAAGCAGGGAATGCCAGTTTAAAGGTTTGCGTGTCATGAAAAACAGCGCGTGCCTTGGTTCTAAAAAAATACTCCCTCTGTAAAAAAATATAAGATCTTTTAGATCACTACTTTGGAAGTACAAGATAAAAAATAACAGAGCATCATTCATACTGAATATCAACTGTTTTAAACATATAAGCAGCTGCTGCACGACCACAGCAGTCCTGCTTACTTTATCCGTCTCATTGTCGAAAATAACTAAATGAGCTGTTCCAACAAATTGGTAGCCCAGACACATTTTTGCGGAAAAGCAATAGCACTGACGTAGTAGCAACCAATTGGGTCTTCGAGAAAGACGAGTCCTTCCAACCACATCAAGATTCATCTTCAACTCGACCTTAAGAGCGGAAGTGAATATCGGGAGTAGCGGTCGCCGTCTCTGCTATCATCTTCTTCCTCAACAAATCAGCATCCTCTCTGGTCCGTGGATAACTAGAAGGACGAAACCCCAGATGAGGAAACTTTTCGATACACCATTGACACACCTTCCTGTCGTGCAGGAATACCTCCCTGATGTTCGCCGCAGCTTGAATGACACGCCTGACGTATCCTGTGAAATTGCCATCGGACTGGAAACCGTGGATAATTAGCCTCCCCAGATTCTTGTGCCTAAAATGAGGATCGGATGGCCCCCACTTCACATCCATTTTCTTGGAGAAACTCTTTTGCGACTCCGACCGGCACTTATGATCCCATACCGTGATGCAAAGCTCCTCTAAGTATGGTGCGGCTTCAAGAAGGAACATTGTCCAGGAGATATCACATTCTTCGGGAAGAAGATCCAGATTCACAAACCGAAGTTTGGCAAGCACGGGAGCAAGCACTCTTGTGCATTCTGGTCGAAGCCAAATCTGTGATAGATAAAACAAATTAAGTAAATAACGCGTGCATAAATTGCATCATCAAGTGATGCATAAGTTAATTACTACTACCCTGAGATAAAAACATCATACAGTTAAATGGGAATGGGACAGAGATGATTAGAGCGAGTACCTTTTCACTACGAAACTCCAGGTACAAATCGCTTACAGTGGGGGCATTCGCAAGCAGCTGGCTTAGGTTGATGGTCTTGCCCGAAATGTTCGCATTAGCAAGGCTAAGCTTGGAAAGCTGAGGCACAAAACCAAGAACCAAGGGGTTCTCATCACAGGGCCAATTCCTGTAGCTCATCCGCTGGAGCTTTGGCAGACAGTCAAGCACCACCGTTTTAAACTCCCCGTAGGTGATAGCAAACTCGACGAGCCGAGCGTGTTCCACATGGAGCACCGAGCGGAACCCCGCGTCGCACTCGCGGAAAGACAGGGACTCTAGCCGCCTGCAATGGCGGAGGATGCTGGGTATGTCCGATTCACCGAACCTCGTGTTCCGCAGATGCAGCTGCGTGAGACCAGCAAATGCGTCCGGACAATCGCGGACAAAATCGTTCAACTGCTTGGCGAAGAGCAGGCGATGGGCGTCGGTGCAATGGTCGGTGTCCCTCAGTGTCATGATTTCGAACTCGGCCGCCTCCAGTTTCTGGGTCGCCATGGCGAGGCCGACGGATCTACCGATGGCGAGGCAGCGGGAGGGAACCAGGAAGAACTTGAGCTTCAGCTTGCGGACGGTGATCTGTGGAGACCTCGTGCTGAGGATCTTCTCCGTCATATCAGCCACAACACCATCCATTTGAATCAAATCACGATTGCTGAGATCAATTATGATCTGCGAGAGCATAGTCGGCAGCTTCTGCATTTGCTTCGAAAGGATGCAGGTTCTTACAGCATCAAGCGTACCCACCCTCTCAAGGATGTTGACCAGCAAATCATTGGGCAGCTCGCTTAGCCTGTCCTCCCCGTTACCAGCTGCTGTCTTTGACTGTGTTTCGACCGTCTCAAGGCCTTTGAGAAGCACATCGCTGGGCAGCTCGCTTAGCCTGTCCTCCCCATTACCAGCTGCTTTATTCGACTGCATTTAGGGGGTGGCAGATTAGTCATAGGTGTAGATCAATAAATTGTAATACCTCCGTTCGGAATTAACTAGGGCTGAAATGAGTGTATCTACACACTGAAACGCATCTAGATACACTAATTTCAGTGAATTCCAAACGGAGGGGGTAACAATAATAATAAAGCAAAAAAAAAAATGACTTACATCACGGCTGCGGCGGCGACCTCTATTGAGCTTCATGGCGATCCGATCTCAAAAAAGAACTAAGTAGACAACTTACAACGACAAACAAAACGTGAACAAAAAATATTCCTGAAATGACGCTCCTTCGGTGTGCGACAATCGTGGACAACCGGGCTGAGCGCTTATTATAGCCTCATCCGGATCCGATTCAGGCTGCTGTACAATTTGTAAATCCACGGATTGTTACTGCTGTTTGACGAGAGGCGGGCATATAAAGGCAGCACCTTTTTCTAATACAATCCGAAATTGATCTCTTTCTGGCTTCCAATCCGATTACAGAACGAGATTGACACCTGTTCCTTGCTTGTTCCGATCCGAGCACAGAACGAGCTTGCGATTCCTTCCTTCATCTACTGCAAAGGGCGGGCGTGCTTTGGGGAGTTCTCGAAAAGAATGAAGCCATCCACGGGTATTGTCAAGGTAACTGCGCGTACATTTTCCAAACACGTGGCCTAACAGGTGGCTAGCTCACATGTCACATAATGCATCCGCAGTACATTTGGGTCCCAGACATATGGGCCCATGTGTCGCAGTCCCAAATGCACCTGTAGTTAAGTCACTGAAGCAACGTCTCATATTTTCAAAAAAAAAAATCTTGTTGTGGGCTCCCGTGTTTTCATTCCTATCGAAGGCCAGTTTCCTAACGTTCTGTCTTAGAGCATCTACAACCACAACTTGCAAAATCCGCTCTCAAACATCCACACGCATGTTCGGACGCATCTGCGTACAGTGACTAGTCAACACGCAAAAGTTTGATTCACAACCGGATATCTCATTTTTCAATCATCAAATTCGTACAATGACATGCAACGTAAAACTATCTAAATTTTCGTTGGCGCCCATCCTTGTTATTCCGGCCATGTCCATACACTGATCGGCTCACGGGAATCGATGCACTGTCATCTCTCATGTCCTACTCTCCCTCGTCAGATCCCATAGCCTCAACGTCATCGGGCGATATGTGATCGATGATGTACGTGGTCGGGCGGTCGGGCCCGACGGCATGCGACTCCGCCTCCCGGCCATCCGCGCATGGTGCCTTGCAAGGCGGGCACGCCTCGTATTTGCAGCGTGCTTCTTGTACACCATGTTGGCGTTTTACCTTCGGCTCGGGGACGACGCGCCACCAAAGGGGTTGCACGGCCATCAGCTTCCACCACCACTTAGAACTGTTTTGAAATCATAATGTGACGATATGTTTGCACATATATAATGTTTGCAAGTTGATTGCGTTGGTGAATTCTTATGTGACATGTAATGTTACCTTTGTGCAAATGAGATTTATATACAAAATAAGTCGATATCTTACTTATTTGGAAGAGATTAACGTTGTGTCACGACCCAAACTCAGGATGGGACGAACAACTGGATTAGTACCAATAACAAAATACAATTTGAGGGATACAAAAAGGTTTGAGGTGAGAAATCAGCAAAGAAGCAGGGGAGATGAAAGATCGTGGATGTCGCCTAGAGGGGGGTAAATAGGCGCTTTAAAATAATTACGGTTGAGGCTTGAACAAATGCGGAATAAACCTAGCGGTTAATTTGTCAAGCACAAAACCTACAACAACTAGGCTCACCTATGTGCACCAACAACTATGCTAAGCAAGAAAAACTACTTAGGTGATAGCAAGATATATGACAAGAAACAATATGGCTATCACAAAGTAAAGTGCATAAGTAAAGGGCTCGGGTAAGAGATAACCTAGGCACGCGGAGACGATGATGTATCCCGAAGTTCACACCCTTACGGATGCTAATCTCCGTTTGGAGCGGTGTGGAGGCACAATGCTCCCCAAGAAGCCACTAGGTCCACCGTAATCTCCTCACGCCCTCGCACAATGCAAGATGTCGTGATTCCACTAAGGGACCCTTGAGGGCGGTCACTGAACCCGTACAAATGGCAACCCTTGGGGAGGTCACCGAACCCGTACACTTTGGCAACCCTTGGGGGCGGTCACCGGAACCCGTCAAATTGCTCGGGGCGATCTCCACAACCTAATTGGAGACCCCGACGCTTGCCCGGAGCTTTACACCACAATGATTGAGCTCCGAACAGCTCCAACCGTCTAGGGCGCCCAAGCACCCAAGAGGAACAAGCTCAAGGGCACCAAGCACCCAAGAGTAATAAGCTTCTCAACTTGTAACTTCCACGTATCATGTGGAGAACTCAAACCGATGCACCAAATGCAATGGCAAGGGCACACGGAGTGCCCAAGTCCTTCTCTCCCAAATCCCACCAAAGCAACTAATGCTAGGGAGGAAAATGAGAGGAAGAACGAAAGAAGATCACGAAGAACTCCAAGATCTACATCCAAGGGGTTCCCCTCACTTAGAGGAGAAAGTGATTGGTGGAAACGTGGATCTAGATCTCCTCTCTCTTTTCCCTCAAGAACTAGCAAAAATCATTGGAGGGATTGAGAGTTAGCAAGCTCGAAGAAGGTCAACAATGGGGGAAGAACACGAGCTCAAAGGATAAGGTTGAATGGGGAAGAAGACCCCCTTTTCTAGGAGCTCCCGAATCCAACCATTAGCTCACAGCCCGCACAGAGCGGTACTACCGCTCCAAGGAGCGGTACTACCGCTAGGGTGGTAGTACCCCTTCGAAACACAACAGCGAGGAGGCAAAAAGGCCAGAAGAACCGTCGGAGCGGTAGTACCGCTCGTCCTCACGGTACTACCGCTCGACCTCACGGTACTACCGCAAATGGTAGCGGTACTACTGCTTGCGAGTGGTACTAAAAAAATACTTCTGTGCCTATTTCCGCTGAGCAAAACACGAGATTTTGGTCCGGAGCAGTACTACCGCTTAGGAGCCGCGGTAGTACTGCTCTGGAGCGGTAGTACCGCTCAGGAGCCGCGGTAGTACCGCTCAGGAGCGGTAGTAAAAAATCGCATCCGCTCTAGTTGCGGTAGTACCGCTGCAGCCTTTACCAAAACAGCCACAACTTTTGCAAACAGACTCCAAATTCAACGAAACCAAGTTTGTTGGAAAGCTAACGACATGGGCCAACACAATCTTGATAGAAATATCAAAAATAAGCAAATGAGAAAAGTCCCAAAAGAAAATGGTGAGAACCCTTCATCGGATAAGACCGGTAAAACCTCCAACACCGAAAACATCATAGAAGACGCATGTGAACTCCGTTTTCGATGAACTCAAGCTTGTTATCAAGATGACCATAAGATCTAAGACTCACAAAGATAACCCAACAAGAACCAAGAAACATGATGCAAGGATGTAATGGTTTGAGCTCTCTACTAACGATACGATCAAGCTACCAACTTGAGAGCCCCCTTGATAGTACGGCAAATGATCCTATAACTCGGTCTCCCAACTACCACCACGAGACCGGTAAAATAGAAAACCTATCAAGGGAAAACCTTTTCCTTGCACATGGTCCACTTGAGCTAGATGAAGACGATCTTGACTCCCTCAAGTTGGACCACCTTTCTTGATTCCGTTGGCTCGATGAAGACTGGATGATTGCTCCCCCATAGTCCACTATGGGTGAGCCACTCTTAGGCACATCTTCACAAGTCCATTGACACCACAATGGATGGCAAGATTCAAGCACTTGATCTATTCATGATGCTCCACTTGAACTTGCACACGGCAATCTTGATGACGATCACCACTTGATGTCATCCTTTCCATGGGTTGTATGATATCTGCCTCTTGATGCAAGCCCATGGACACGTACCTAACCCCACATAGAACTCTCACATAGACCATGGGTTAGTACACAAAGTGCAATGGACAATGCTTACCATACCATGGGATCACTTGATCCCTCTCGGTATATCTTCTACGCTTTGTGAGTTGATCAACTTGATTCACTCTTGACTTAGTCTTGATCAACCTTGAATCTTTCCAACTCTCTTCATTTGGATGATGTCTTGAAGGTAAACATGAATGATCACACAATCTTCTTCTTCAAGACATGCTTGCAATAAGGTCAACACTCACATGACCAATCTTTGGATAATTCCTTAATAGCACCTTGGTCAATTCATAAACTCCTTGAAACCAACACATGGACTTCAAGAAAAGCCTATGGACAAATCCTTTAAATATAACTCAAGACAACCATTAGTCCATAGAGGTCGTCATCAATTACCAAAACCAAACATGGGGGCACCGCATGTTCTTTCAATCTCCCCCATTTTGGTAATTGATGACAATCACTTTTAAGAGAGTTTATATAAGGAATTATGCTTCACTATGTAATGCAACAACCAATAGTGCATGCATATGAGATGCAAATGTTAAGGAACAAAACCAAAGCAAGAAGAGATAACTCTCTAAACTTCTCCACAAAACTCTCTGAAACTTCTCCCCCATTGGCATCGATTGCCAAAATGGGTGAAAAGCTATAAATTGTGGTCCTCCATAAATTGTATATTTCTTCACAAGAAAGTGGAATGCAATACACATATCCAACGGTAAATGCTTGGAGGAAAACAAACTATATTGAGGCCCAGAGATTGCAAAAGAATGATATGCCACAAAGACATAACAAAGAGAGACACAAGCAATCAGAAGATACCAATTGAAGCAAGCAATCAACGGAAGTCAATTGAACCAACTAGACCAATGATCCTACATGCCACAAGAAATAAAGATATTATGATAAGCGCAAAGGGGTGTTCTAAAGAAACTAGAGAAGCTCCCCATGATTTGTGCACACATAAGAATTTTTGTATTTGAATACAAAGTGCACAAAATAGGATCATAGCTCCCCCCAAATCAATAGAAACTCACATCCAGTGCAAGTGAG